AGAGAGAGAGAGAGAGAGAGAGGGGGACAGTGCCAATGTCACTGAGGAAAAGCAACATAACGATATGGTTCATTGGTTTTTAATGCTATCTACGGGAGAAAATTACTATTATGGCATCATAACACCAACCTTGTGGAGCATGTCAGAGACTGACTTCGGTCGCTTGACTTGGCGCAAAATTCCAAGGGGATAGAGCGGTAAAAAAAATTCGTTGTGCAACTTATTGTCAAAAATATATCTCCCCAACTATCGAACATACATTCTCCAGCTTTTGCACAGTGGCTTGTATCAATTTGTCTTAACAGATCAATATTTTTGTAAACTCCTGTTAGCTCTATTCTAGAAAATTCCTTTAAAAATACTAATAAAAAATCCAAACGAGTTGTTTCTACATTTGTACTGATTTTAGGAGGTTTACAGTTGAGACAATATTATTGCTTTTAAAATCAAGTCCGTCATTTTTTTTTCTAATAGCCGTATTATCTTTATTGAACGCATGTTTTGAGAACTTTAAGTGTAAAAAAGTGTTCACTAATGATATTAATTTCTTGTTTGTAACAAGTTTTGTCAGTAAAAAGTGTCATTGATGAGCTGTGACATTGGCCATATGCGTAAACAAAATGTGTTTGAGAATAGGGAAGTGCTGTGAACAATTTCATATTCCGCGTGAAAGAGATTTGTAGTATTTTATATAAATTAACGAAAAAAAGTTTTAAAAATCTAGCCCCAATTGCTGTGAAAAAATATGATTAAGTCAAGAAAAAATGGTACAAACTGCTGTGCAAAGAATGGGTGACATTGATTCAACAGTTCAAAAGATATTTGAGGATAAGTTGCGCCACGAATTTTTGACCGCACCTTCGAGTGGGGATATGCGCTATACAAAATGCTATTTATTATTATCATCATTTAACTGTGTTATTTGTGTCTCAATCGTGACAAAACTTTACATTTAAGGTCATTTTCATGTTAGTTCTGGAACAAACATCGTCTGTTGCTGTCTTTGTTTTGTGAATAATTAATTGTCAAGTACTGCACTGCAGTATAATCGCGGCTGTGCAGGCGAAGCAACCGCATTTATAGG